AACGCACACAGGACAGTTTGCAGCAGTCAAACATTGTGAATAGAAATGTCTATAACAAATGAGCCTGGCAAAGCTACTTACAGCAGGAACAGTTGAGTTTGTATTCACCTTTTTAAGCTTTTGTAATCTTAGCTATATTTTACTTTCTTTTCTGTTTGCAAAGGAGCTGTCTGTTGTGCTTATGGTGATCATAAGCAACACACTTTATCCAAACATGCACTGCAGCCCTAATGCTTTGTTTCCCCTCTTACTTCTCTGTCCCTGGGGATGCATTTCTGATACTCACTGGACATGAAAAAGTGCCTTACAAGCCCTTGTTTTATAATGATATGAACACAGGGTCAGGGTTGAGGTAGGCTGCAGGAAACAGATGTAATGCATTTCTGTATTTGTAAGCCAGCCACAGAATGACACATTAAACCCCAAGCTACGTGGTATTTTACAGCTACTTCCCTGTTTTAAACACAGATGATAGCTGTGAGTGTTTTCGTGGTGCGTAACATAATTAAAAGCTGCTTCCTTTTGATGGGGAGCTGTAACACATATACGCACACTGGTGCATTGAGTTGATAAGAAAACTGTAATTGTGATAAGCACATTGCTTAAGCTGTAGGAAATGTGCATACTGAACTGTTGCCAGCTTACAGCCCTGTTTATAATGTCACATCATTTTTGTGTAAAGCACGATATCTCTGCAAAATAATAAAAAAGAATTCTGTTTGTTTGTTTCTAAATACATCTGTTGTAGACAGGAGATATTCCAGGAAAACAAATATTCTCCAACTTGTGCTTGTTTTCCAAAGAAATATGAATTTTGAAACTACATTCTCATGTAATTGGATGAGAGGAGCTATTAACCTCAGATGCCTCCTACCATTACACCCTGTGAGGAATATCTGGCAGGATGAGTCATCGTAACCAGACATACGCAACCTCCTGACACCTATTCAGCAATGTGAAGACTTTATTAGGATAGTTATGGAGAGAAAGAAATTATGTGTCTGTGTTAGTGGTAAAGGCTGTGCACAACAAGTGTCTTCTGTGCCTTGGAAATCATTCTTTCCTGTACTCAGTGTCATTACGCGATCCGTTCGGGAGCGCACATTTTGCTTCAGTTTGAAACAGACTATGCTATAAATGTCTGATAAAAGCAAGTTATTATACTGTATGTTTAATAACGGCGGACTATATTATTGCAGTTCATTAGTTCTTAGAACACAAATATTGCCACAAAGTCAAACCTAATTCAGCTGGAAAATGTGGTCCAAGTTCAATTAGACAGAGTGGGAGAGCTATAGAGATGTTTGAAATCCCAGATGAATCTCCAAATGTTCTGCTGCCCATACATGGACACAGATTAAGGCTGAAATACTTTATCAGCAACAGAGCATGTGGTTTCCTGTTTTAAAAGGTGAACTAAAGCATGTCTGTACTCATTAGTAGTGACTTGCATTGGGAACCAGTTAGGTCTGATATGAGGCCAGCTGGCTTTAGATGGACAGAAAGCTAAACTTCTCTTGGCTGTAATGTATGTTATAGACAAATATGTAAGTAATATCAATCTTTTAATTACTTTTTGGCTAGAGAGCAAATCAGCTTATTTCCTAAAACTATTCCACTGTATTTTTTCGTGCAGCATTTTTCAAAACAGAAACAAAAAGTTTTCTGTGCATCAGCTTTCAGTCAAGTCAACTCAACAACAGTCAACAGCGAAGGACAGACTCATGAGACTCGGTCTGACGTACTTATTGCAGCTTACTGTCTGTTAGTTAAGTACAATGCGTATATCGCCAAATCAAACAAACTCCTCAGACAAACTTTCAGTCTTTATCAACTTTCTGACACAACAAGTTTTCCTCAATTTAAATCCACCATATGTGAAAATTATAGTTTTCTTTGCCGCGCACTAACAGAAAAAAGCAAACAAATGTCATTTTCATATCGTCCTTTGCTTTGGGCTGCGTCAGCATAGATTCTCAGAGTATATGGAGGCCCACAAGGACACTCACCTGAGACAGGCCTGCAAAGCATGCTGGGAGCAGTTATTATCTTCACTGTTGCAATGGAAACATTATAACCCCACAAAGTTTATTTTCAAAAGTTTTGAGAAGAAGTCTTATCTTAAAGTTCCAGACATTTTTAAACAGCAGAATCAGAAAATGAATTGAGTTCATGCCTCAAAGCATTAAAACTGACTGACAGAGAAGCATACCGTATATACCTCATTTCACAGAAGAATGTAAAATAAATGTGCTAAACAATTAAATTTTTTGGTGGCGCATAGGATACAAAAAATACCATTATTCAGCAACAAGCCTAAGCAGAAAAGGCAGATAACAGCAATATATTCCTCAGTCTGCATAAGGACAAGTAGTTTCAGTTTCAGTAAGACAACTATCTGTGTGAACTGAAGACTCTTAACTGTGTTTATCCCTTCCTGTCCCAGCCAGACAGTCTAGGCGCCCTGTGACACTGATAGATGAGTTAGCCAACACTCTCCACTGCAGTAGGTCATGGGTCACATCTGCTGTCTTATCACATTTAAGGGAGAACGAATAACATTTAAAGAAAGAATTGGAGAGCAAATATCTTCTGAGGGAAATCCACAGTCTCAGAAAAACACTGCCGTAATTGTTGAGTGTCGTTAACACCTTGTGGCAGACTGCTTGACAAATCTTGCATTTGCATCACTCCTCAAAAAGCTATAATTTAGAATCAAATATTGTAGGAACCAAACACTCTTGGAACAGAGTGACAGTAGTTTTCAAGGGAGAAATAATGTTTTAAACTGATTAATAGGTCATAATACACAAGGCTTGTACTGATATTCAAAAATAATAGAGAGAAAACAGAAAACAGGCTGTCTTTAACAGTGGTGGGAGAAGTACATAGCGTTATTGTGATATTATCAGCTAAATGAAACTAAAGTAAAAGCAGGTGCTCCACAGAAAAACAGCCTCTGTGACTGATGTATTATTAGATTTTACTTTGTTTTATATGGATCCACTAAAGTGTAAGCAGCATTTGGTTCCCATTTAGGAGGAAGGCTGTAAGAATTTTGTGCCTTAAACTGTTATTTTGATTAAACCATCTGAGAAGTTTTAGAGGGAAAATCATTATTTGGATACCATGTAAATGGCTGTGCTCATGACTCATAAAATCCATTTTATTCACATGTGATGATAATGGTCAGGCTTCATCCAGTTAGCTGGCTTGTTTGGCCATAGTCACAGTAGTTTTTGGACATGGATGCCGGTGGGTAGTGCATTCCTGTGGTCTCGTGTGACTATGGAGAAAGGGACATGAGCACTAGAGCTAGAGGTTCGTTGCCACAGAGCAGCATGGCAAGCGAAACGGCTGAGAATCCCAAAAAAAAACACCAGATGGTCAGAGAGTTCCATCTCATAGAAATACGACGTGACAACAGGCGAGAGAGAGGGAGAGAGCGACAGGTAGAAGAAGATAGAGGGGGTGAAGGGAAACAACAGCTTACATAACTAACAGGTGTCAACTGTCACCACAAGAACATGAAAGAGACAACAAGAGAAAGAACTCTGACAAAGTTAGACAGGGGTGGGTAACACGAGAATGCTGTCTGAAAAGTATCCAACAACCACCTCCTCACATTACTGTTTTGCTGTCCACATCTATGTCATGCTCTTAAGCTGTTCAGACCATGCCTGCCACACATAATGCTTCACATTGCCATCAAATTCAGGACTGTGTCAGTCACCTGTTTTGTTTTCTCTCTGCCTGCGGACCCTAACAAGGTTCATTTGACTGGCAGAGCGTGCCAGGTCTAGAGACAGAGGAGGCTGATGGTGGACCAGAGCCTGATGACTCACTCTGCAATCTGTGACCCCAGAGGCTGATGGATGTCACAGCAGGATCCTTCACTGGACAGCTATATACTGTAGATATATACTGGATGCTATGTCAGAAGACTGAAAATATATTTTGGCATTCACCAGTTTGTAAACACCTCTGGAAAAAAATGTTGCAATTTTGAAGATGCCTTATTCCACCACAGTGCTTCTCTCAGGAAAGGGGTTTGTTTTCTTGTAGTTGCTCCCGTAAATATATATATATAAATAAATAAAAAACACTCAAAGAAGAGATGTTTTTTGCCCAGGATTCAATTCACTGATTACACTACAAACCTACTATACTAAACTACACATACTACTATACTACAAAAAGTTATCAGATGCCTCAAATGAAGATTCTATTAAAATAAAGTTGATATAAAAACCTAGATCTTATTGTATTGTTATTATTTTTGTATTGCCTGTTACGAACTAGTATGCAGCATATGAAACAATGCCACAAAAGTCTCTAGGGTGCCTT